GCCGCCGCCCTCCTGGTTAAGGTAGGCACGGCCCCGGGGAGGCGGGGGGGGCGGCCGCGCTGCGGGGGATGCCCGGGGACGGCACCGGGGCGGGGGTCCGACGGCAGTAACCTTTCTGGTCCCTCAGAACCGATGGTAGCTTCACACAGGCATATTCCACTACTTAGGTGGAATATAAGGACTTACAGTCTTGAAATAAAACGGTGGAACAGAGACAGAAAGAGAGGGAAAGGGCAGGTTGCCCCCGCAGCACACGGGAAGGAGGGCAGCGTGGCGCTGCACCCCGGGAGGCAGCCCGGGCCCTGGAGCAGAGGCATTCCCCAGCATCCTGCTCGCTCCCGCTACACCCAGGGCTAGCAAAACCAACCCGCAGGCACGGCGACACCTCCTTAAAACATGCAAACAAATGAGCTTAATTACGAAAGGACGACCGAGGCACAAGCCCTGGCTCTCTAGTTTCCCAGCAAGTTGCCCCAAAGGAAAATGATGGAGGGCGATCTCAGCCCCTTCCTTTCCCGGGATATGATCAACCACCACCAAAGTCCTGAGCCAGGAGCAAACCCAGGAAGGGCAGCGCAACCACGGTTTGCAATTTAGACTCTATCAAGCCTCTACTTGCTATGATTATCCTTTTAAACTAATAACTCCCGTGTTGTTTATCAATGTCTGTATCTGTTGCCAGATTTCCCTGTGGTCCCTCTTGGTGACTCTGGTGATCCTGTTCATCCTGACTGGCACCATGCTGGGCCCAGATCTAATGGCACATATTCCTGCATCTGTCTACACCATTGCGGTGCTGATGCCCCTAGCGGGGTATGCCTTGGGATATGGCTTAGCCACGGTCTTTAAAATGCCCCCACACTGCAGGAGAACAGTATCTTTGGAAACAGGGTGCCAAAATGTCCAGCTCTGCACCGCCATCCTAAAACTCACCTTTCCCCCGGAGCTCATAGGGAGCATGTACATGTTTCCCTTGCTTTACGCGCTTTTTCAGTCGGCAGAAGCAGGACTCTTTGTGCTGGTGTACAAGATGTATGGGAGAGACAGCTACAAACAAGATACACTCGGTGAAGAGGAAGACACAGACATTTCCTACAAGAAACTGAAGGAAGAGGAGGTGGCTGAAACTTCATATGGCACAGTGACCACAGAGGACCACAACTCCATTCAGATGGAGCCGACGCAGACGGCGCTTTAGGGGAGATAAGGAGGCAACACCCGGGGACGTGTGATGTGTGTTGTTCTTGCAACCAAGCTGGGGCCGCGCTCGCCGCTGCGCAAGCGGAGCTGCCCAGCCTCCATCGTTTCTCCAGCCGCTCCCATTGTACAAGGTGATGTGTGTTTATTACCGTGACAGTTGTGTTTCCTCAAAAATACTTATGAAAAAAATGTAAAAGCAAAGGAAAAAGTATCACTGCAATGCAAATAACCGTACGTCTTCAGGCAAGGAGGCTCCTGCCCACCTGAGTGCAGCAGGA